AAATTATTTTCACAACTATTACAATTATTATTATTATTATCATTATTGCTAAGCTACAGTTTAATATTTAACATTTTTATTTATATTTTTCCTTTTACATTTAATTTTTTCTTTCTCATGTTTTTTTATTTTTTAATACTAATAATTTTACGATGATTAACTTTCTTACATTTACATATTTAGGATTTAGGATTTTAAATTTCCTAATGTTCAACAATTTACAAATTTTTCATAAATAATTCCCTTCTTCAAACATGTCATATATTCATATTAATATTAAATAATATATTTTAAGGTTATATGTTTATTGTTATGAATTATTGTGGTTATTATTGATACAACTAAACATTTTACTTTTGAAATATTTTTTGATAAATCTTCTTATTTCAACGTTTTCTCATCGTTTTTTACTTATTAATTTTCTCTTTATTTTCTGATCATTTTTTTATTTTATTTATGATTTTTTCCACTAAATTGTTTTATTTTTATGTTGTTTTCATTGGCTGTCTTGTTTCTGCAGTTCTGTGACCTCTGACCTCTCAAGAACTGGACCCAAACATTCAGAACCAGAACTCTGAAACAAAGTACTTCCTGTTGGCTGATGCGTTTAAGGACCAGAGAAACTGTCGTATTTTCCATATTCTCTAAATAACCTGAAGTGGGATTAAATAAGAGTCACTGCAGCTGCTTCCGCTCAGGTTCATCAGCTTTACAACCGGCCTCAAAGCGGCGCCTGACTCCACCAATCAGGCGGCGCCTGACTCCACCAATCAGGCGGCGCCTGACTCCACCAATCAGGCGGCTCCGTGCTGCTGCGATGCTTTCCAGACGAAACATCTGGAACATCATCAGGGCCGATAATCTGGGCAGATTAACACAAACTAATCCCAGTTCAGCTCTGACTGGTTGAACTGGGATCCAGAGGCTGCTGCTGCTCACCAGTCCAGATGTTCCTACTGGATCCAACATCTGCCCCCATAATCCCATCAGGATCCACTGAGCGCGCTCAGTACACTGCGGCCTGGCAGTGACTCATCATCATCATCATCATCATCAGCAGCAGCAGCAGCAGCAGCAGCAGCTGCAGCAGCAGCTGCAGCATCATCTTCCTCTGGAGGACAGACGCTCTGATGTTACATAACGGCCTGAAGCTGCTTTACTGCTGCTCAGGTTACACAACCAGAACCGGAACCGGATCAGACTGCAGAACTGGAAATCAAATGAAAAAACTCAAAGCGTCATGAAGATTAAGGCAGTTTTGCTCTGGAACTCCTGGTTGCCGTGGTGATTCCCTCCTTTTCCGGGGCCAAAGGTCAAAGTCACAAACATTTATCTGGGTCTACAGAGTTCTGAACAGAACCTTCAGGTCCAGCTGCCGGAGAACTGCTGATCTGATGGGTTCAGGTCCGTCTGATGCTAATGCTAAACGCTCTGACAATGCTAAAGTCAAATGTTCTGCTAATAATACATGCCATGCTAATGCTAAGCACTGTTCTAATGCTGATCACTGTGCTAATGCTAAGCACTGTGCTAATGCTAAGCACTGTTCTAATGCTGATCACTGTGCTAATGCTAAGCACTGTGCTAATGCTAAGCACTGTGTTAATGCTGATCACTGTGCTAATGCTAAGCACTGTGCTAATGCTAAGCACTGTGCTAACGCTAAGCACTGTGTTAATGCTGATCACTGTGCTAATGCTAAGCACTGTGCTAATGCTAAGCACTGTGCTAACGCTAAGCACTGTGTTAATGCTGATCACTGTGCTAATGCTGATCACTGTGCTAATGCTAAGCACTGTGCTAATGCTAAGCACTGTGTTAATGCTGATCACTGTGCTAATGCTAAGCACTGTGCTAATGCTAAGCACTGTTCTAATGCTGATCACTGTGCTAATGCTAAGCACTGTGTTAATGCTGATCACTGTGCTAATGCTAATCACTGTGCTAATGCTAATCACTGTGCTAATGCTAAGCACTGTGCTAATGCTAAGCCTGTGCTAATGCTAGCACTGTGCTAATGCTAAGCACTGTGCTAATGCTAAGCACTGTGCTAACGCTAAGCACTGTGTTAATGCTGATCACTGTGCTAATGCTGATCACTGTGCTAATGCTAAGCACTGTGCTAATGCTAAGCACTGTGTTAATGCTGATCACTGTGCTAATGCTAAGCACTGTGCTAATGCTAAGCACTGTGCTAATGCTAAGCACTGTGCTAATGCTGATCACTGTGCTAATGCTAAGCACTGTGTTAATGCTAAGCACTGTGCTAATGCTAAGCACTGTGCTAATGCTAAGCACTGTGCTAATGCTAAGCAGAATGTTGGTTTAACTCCAACATTCTGGACCTGAACCAGGTGCATTTATGTTAGGACTGATTTTAGTTGTCATGGTTACATAAGGAACCGGTTCTGGTCGTTTCCAGCAGAACCAGGCAGCACCACAGTGTGTATTTAAGCAGAACCTCAGCCGGGTTCTGGTTCTTTATGTAGCTTCAGAAACAGAAACTTGAGATCCAGGCTGAGAGGAAACAAAGGCTGACGGTGAACAAACAGCAGCCGGGCCAACTGGGTCATACGGCCCGGCAGAACAAAGGTCTGCTCAGCTGCCGCGTCCTCTCTGGACCTGGTACTGAACAGGAAGGGCCCGCTTCAGGATGGACAGACCAGCAAACAACAATGAAGATTCCTGTGAGGTTCTGGAGGAAACAGCAGCTGCAGCAGCCGGGCTTCTGCTTGGACTGGGCCAGCAGAACCAACTGGACCAGCAGAACCAACTGGACCAGCAGAACCAACCGGGCCAGCAGAACCAACTGGACCAGCAGAACCAACTGGACCAGCAGAACCAACCGGGCCAGCAGAACCAACTGGACCAGCAGAACCAACTGGGCCAGCAGAACCAACAGAGCCTCAGCTCTAATTAAACTGGTCATTAAGTTCTGGCCCGCAGCATCACGGCCTGCCAGACTGCGAGTCAATGCAAAACATCGCGATATTTACGATTTTTGTAACTGCTGTTCATGCAGGACAGCAGTTACAAAACTGAACTGAATTCAATCAGATCATCAAACCTATTGATTTGTATCCATGCATTCATATAAAAATATACAATCAATGGAAAACAATAACAGAGGTTTTAAAATATCGATAAAATTTATCACGATAAACGATACGAAATCTGTTCAGACCAGAACGGAGAGCCTCAGTGACCCGGGCGGGTCAAGCATGTTCAGAACCAACCCAGAGCAGTAACACACACACACACACACACACACACACACACACACACACACACACACACACACACACACACCTGCGGCTCTCAGCAGCAGCAGGATGCGCAGCAGCCCGGCGGGCCTGCAGAACCCGCATCTCTCCTCGGTCCTACCTTCGATGGCGATGACGTGCTCCCGGATCTGGTTCTGCAGCAGCGGCTCCTCCACCCGCTCCAGCAGCTCGTAGATGGAGTAGATGTTCGGGTGCACCGACTCGAACCTCTGGATCTCGGATCGGATGGCGGCCGAGTTGGCCAGATGCAGCTGGTAGTTCATCCTGACGGGGGAGACGCGGCTCCAGGGACGGCTTCAGGCTTTCTGGGAACGACAGTAACAATAATCCCGGACTCAGCTCTACATCCCGGGCAGGAGAACCGGGGTCCCTCCAGCGGCGGCGGCCAGATGGCAGCTACAGTCCGGGGAAGGCTACTTGTCCCCGGGGCTCCCCGCGTTCCTGCTCCGCTGCGGTGACGGATGTGCGGGAGGCGACGGAGCTCCGCTGCCCCATATCCTTCCAGGCCGGGCTGGATGACCGGGCCGCTGGGAGACCTGCAGCCGGATTACACGGAGCTTCCAGCGGAACTTTGAGTCATAACTGGCCGGAGGAGGAGGACGACAAACGGCCTGGTGGATGCTAGCTGGCTAAAGCTAACTAGCTGTAGCTCCCAGCAGCTACAGCTGGTAAACCTGGAGGAAACCTGGGAAAAGTCGCCGAATTCCAGGGGCGAGAGTCGGACTCACATCAGGCCAGAGAGCGGGCTTCAACCGCAGACAGCATGCGGGAACAGAGCCGCGGGTCGGTAATCCGTGCGGGGCGAGTTTGGAACCTGGCTCCTTGTTTTGTCTCCTTGCGCTTAAAAAGCGCCGGAAACCTTCCCGGTTCGGCTGGAAACTTAGCGGAGGGAGCCCACAGGAGGTACCGGGTGACCCAGGACGACCGAACCGGGTCAAAGCGTCAAGTTTGTCCCGCAACAGAAGCCAAACAGTCTTCCTGTACCGCTTCCTCAGCGCGGTGAGCTCCGTCCTGGATACACCGAAGATCCCAGCCGGGATTTCCTCCAGGACCGTCAACACGCGCCGCCAAACAAACACATCCGGTTTGGCCTTTCAAAATACAACAGCTCAGTTTACATTCTAGTTTCACCAACTGGTTTATCCTGATTGATTTCTGGTGATTTCAGCCAAAATCAACTCTGTTTGTTTTATTGATTTAGTTTCTTCTAATTAAATCAATACATTGAAATAAAATTTAATTTCAGTTCCATTAAACTTGAATCAACGCAGGTTTTACTTTGGGCCAAATAATCAACTTCATCTCATTTAATCCAACTGAAACTATTGATTTAATCAAAATTGTTTTTTTTTATCATTTTAGGTCAATAAATTCAGTTTTTGGTTCTGCTGGCTTTCAAACAGACCGGACCAGTTTAACTCAGATTATTGATATTTCTGTTAAATCAGTTTGTGTTGAATCGCCAAAACTTCAGCACGTTTCATTTTCAGTTTATTTCCAGTCAGTTTAAAACCTAAATGTTCTGACTCAGTCCGGTTTGTTTTCTTTGACGTCTGTTAATGTGTTCATTAACGGGAGTTAGTGAACACATGAACTGTTCAGGTGGTTTAATTTTGGTTCATTGAAGTCAAACTTTATATGCTGTAATCCAGACTATAAACCAACATTAATGTTAGATTCTGTATTGATCAGTTATTTTCACGCAGCAGACAAAGATTAAAGCTACATCTGTTTTTATTTAGTCAGAAATTACACAACTAAATGGGTGTTGAGCTTTTATTTTGAAGGTCCGTCCAGTCGTGTTCCGGTTTTCCCGCCGTTCTGCTGAACAGCTGCATTCGGACAGATGGAGACTGCGCAAAGATGACCTCTGCCATGACAACCAGACATTAACGGCCTTTCAAAATAAAATCCCAGCAGAGGAGATACAGCTTTATTGGAGTCGGAAAAGAAAAACAAGATCTAGTTCAGGGGTCACCAACCCGGGGCCCGCAGGGACCTTTTCAGGCGCCCGCGGAGCCACTTCTAAAAATAGCCATTATCATTAGGGACCAAAAAATAATTTAATTAAATGTTTTTACATTGAAGTAATGACGTTTGTTTATATTTAGAGTTCAAAAGAGGAAAATGATAAAAACGTTTAAAATAAATTGCTTTCTGTATAAAACTCTTTCCTGCTGTTCAAGTTCAGAACCTGCAGCTGCACTCTGCATACCTTGACATTTTCCTTTAAGTAAAGAAAGAAAAGAATAACTTCTTATTATTGAACCCTATTTACTATTAACAAAATTGTGAAGAAAAAATAAATAAATTGTGCCAAAACATGTTATTCGTAGCGCATCTGGGAATCAACACCTGAACCTCTTTCCGAGATGAGGAGGCTTCGCTTCCATGTCTTTATTATTTAGCATCGTCTGGATAAAATCCGCTGCTCTTGGTTCAGGTTTGTGCTGATTTTTGCGCATTGGAGAGGAGCTTGTGCTCTTGCAGGTCAGGTGCAGTGATAGTTTTAGCCAGCGGGATCCGTCAGCTGTTCGGTTCGCCAAACCAGAACAAAGCTATAAACCTGCGACCCGCCAGAACCGCGCAGACTGTCAGAAGCTCAGGCTGAACGTAGAACAGGAGGTTCAAACCCAACTGGTTCATTTTTAGCTTGCAGAAAAACACAAAGCCGTTAAATGAATAAAAGCAAACTGACCAATAAGACTGAGGCTTTGGGTTCCCCACCTCATCCCTCAGACTGACAGCTTTGTGTGTTTAATATGTTTTGACACAAAAGATATTTTATTTCCACAATTTTGCTAATAGAACAGATGGTTAGATAATAAAACTATAACTCTTCTTTTTTATTGAAAGGAACATGTCAAGGTACTCAGTGCAGCTGCAGGTGTTACTGCAACAATCATCAGTTTGATTTGGTTTATTTCAGTCACTTGTTGTCAGTTTAGAATCACAGAGAAAAACTCCAAAAGGAATCAAACGTAAAACTCTGTGAGCTAAAAACTTCTGATCACATAATAGCGATTAATTATCATGGTAAATTATTACTGATAACTATTGTTAGTGGTCCTGACATTAATATGATCATATATATATATACTTATATATACTGTATTAAACAAGTAGTCCTTCGTGTTGCTCTGTACCCGTGAAGAAGCTCCCAGTCCCACAAAGTTTTGGTGACCCCTGCTCTACTGGTTCTGGTTCTGGTTCTGGTCCATCTCTACTGGTCCTGGTTCTGGTTCTGGTCCATCTCTACTGGTTCTAGTTCTGGTTCTGGTCCATCTCTACTGGTTCTGGTTCTGGTCCATCTCTACTGGTTCTAGTTCTGGTTCTGGTCCATCTCTACTGGTTCTGGTTCTGGTCCATCTCTACTGGTTCTAGTTCTGGTTCTGGTCCATCTCTACTGGTCCTGGTTCTGGTTCTGGTCCATCTCTACTGGTCCTGGTTCTGGTTCTGGTCCATCTCTACTGGTCCTGGTTCTGGTTCTGGTCCATCTCTACTGGTCCTGGTTCTGGTTCTAGTTCTGGTTCTGGTCCGGCTCTGCAGGTGGGCCCAGCAGCAGGCTGTGTTGGACGCCGTTCTTCTTCTTGGCGCCGCCGGTGGCCTTGATGCAGCAGCTGTGACCCCCCAGGGTGAAGCGGGTCTCAGTGCCGTCGTCCACAAACTGTCCCTGAGGACAGACAGGAGGACATTTACATCTAAAATTGATTATTGGTACCCAGAGGGAAATTGCTTCAAATAAAAATAAATATTTTCATAAACTAAATTACCCTCAAGTAAAAAAATCGTAATATAATTTAAATACCAATAAATTTAAAACAATTCAATAAAACAGTAGAAGCAAAATTTAGAAAAAGAATATTAAATATGTCTGTAAGGAAAAATAAAAAAGCAAAATAATTAAGAAAATGAAAATAAATTACTTCAATAAGTTTAAAATCAAAACCCATATTTAATAAATTTATGAATTTAGTGATTTAATCACCGACTTGTTCAATATTATGGTTTCCTGCCAACAATAACTGAAGATTTAAACATTTAATTCCCTTTGAAACGTTTCTCAGTTGTAACTAAATAACTAAATCATTAAATCGTCACTTTAATTCATTACTTTAAAAGCCTCATTAAATCAATAAACAGCTCAATTATTAATTCAATGCCAGTTCCTGCCGTGGCCTCATGGTGGCGCTCCGGCTCCAGCTCCAGTTCCGGTTCTGGATCCGGTTCCGGTTCTCACCGTTGTCTCCACTTTCTGCCCGTTGCACCAAACGTCCATGGTGTCCTTCTCTGTGGGACACAACACAGTCAGTCAGGACCGGTCGGTGTTCAGGTCGACCTCTGACCTCTGTCTGGACTCACCCAGGACGACCCGGCAGTCCTTCCCGTCCACCTGGACCACCCAGGTCTTGGTGGTCTTGGCTCTGTGGTCGATGAACTTCTGCAGGCTCTTCCCGCCGACGTCCAGCGAGTATTGGTAGGCGAAGCCGCCGACGGCCTGGATGTGGACGGCGGCCTTGGTGCCGGCGGCGCCCAGACGGAACGACTCCGTCCCCACCAGCTTGAACATCCAGTCCTTCCGGATCACTTCCTGCACAGCAGACGAGTTCATCCTCTCACCACCACACAGGAGCCAAGACAAGCTGAGTCTGCTCAACGCCACACGATGGAAACTCAACCACACAACCGAAGCGTCCGCCGTCCCGTACCAGGACAAAGTCCACACTGGTCCTCTGACCTGGAGGTGGACCAACCAGTGAGTCTCCACTCCAACGTCCAGGACTGAACTCACCTGGATCCTCCACAGATCCTCCTGGAGGATCTACGACCCTGACCTGTCAGGCCAGAGGACCGTCTCCTGAGACCAGAACTTCACCTTGTCCAGGACGTCTCCTGAGTCCAGGACGTCTCCTGAGTCCAGGACGTCTCCTGAGTCCAGGACGTCTCCTGAGACCAGAACTTCACCTTGTCCAGGACGTCTCCTGACTTCAGGACGTCTCCTGAGTCCAGGACCTCTCCTGAGTCCAGGACGTCTCCTGAGTCCAGGACGTCTCCTGACTTCAGGACGTCTCCTGAGTCCAGGACGTCTCCTGAGTCCAGGACGTCTCCTGAGTCCAGGACGTCTCCTGACTTCAGGACGTCTCCTGAGTCCAGGACGTCTCCTGAGACCAGAACTTCACCTTGTCCAGGACGTCTCCTGACTTCAGGACGTCTCCTGACTTCAGGACGTCTCCTGAGTCCAGGACGTCTCCTGACTCCAGGACGTCTCCTGAGTCCAGGACGTCTCCTGACTCCAGGACGTCTCCTGACTCCAGGACGTCTCCTGAGTCCAGGACGTCTCCAGTACCTGTTTACTGGTTTCCTACTGGGTTCCAGCTTCTACCAGCGCTGGTCCAACTGGACCTGCAGTCTGCCACCATGACATCATCGACACAGGAAGCCCAGACGGTCCAATCAGCAGTCCTGACAAGTTCTCCAGAACCTCAGTGGTTGGACCAACCCGGTCCAGTTGGGTTTCAGTCAATGGATGGATGTCTCCATCATGAAACCGCCACCAGAACCTCACCGAACTCCCAGAAACCCGGTTCTGATGGGTTTGCTGCTTCTGCCTCACTTTGGACTCTTGGGCAGTTTCAAGCCTGGCCGTGACGTCACACTGAGCCCTATCCGGTCCGAGTTCTGACCGTCCTTTCAGTGAGGTCAGAACCAGCTGTCAGAACTTACCGTCCCGTTCACGTAGACGACCCGTTTCCCCGTGGTGGTTCCGTGAGCGAACTCGACCCGGTACACGCCGTCGCTCAGAGCCACGTCCCACACGGCCACGGCGTCTCCGCACGGCATCCTGGACCGAACCGGGCCGGTTCTGAGCAGCTGCGAGGGCAGGAACCGGGTCCTGCAGCCTCAGCAGGAGCGTGATTACAGTAAGAGGCTTAGAGGAGGAGTCACCGCGAACCGGCCGCTGTCCTCCGAACCGGCCGCTGTCCTCCGAACCGGCCGCTGTCCTCCGAACCGGCCGCTGTCCTCCGAACCGGCCGCTGTCCTCCGAACCGGCCGCTGTCCTCCGAACCGGCTGGATCTCAGCCGAACCGATCTCAGCCTCAGGAGGCGGCCTGAGCCTGCAGCCGGATCCGAACCAGCAGCAAACTGGATCAGCTGCCATAAAACTGGAGCGGAGAATTTCCGTCCCATTCAGCTTCAACAGCGAGGAAACAGCGCCACCTGGTGGCCAGAGCGAGACCTGCCGCACCTTTAAGATGTAAAATACTGAAGATTTGATTCATTCAAGTGCAGAATATCAACAATAAATTACACTATTTAAATACAGTAAAATGCATTTCACATCGAAAATAATCAAGGATTTATTAAATATTATCAAAAATAAAATATATTGAAACATTTTTAATTTCTCCCCCTTTTATCATTATTTTCACATTTCTGATTATAAAAAGTTGAACCTTTTTAAGGTTAGTCATTTTTAATAACTCATCTTTTATTTTACATAATTCAATATATACATATTAAACTGTTGTTATCATTTCTACATAAAGTCTATTTTTAGATGTGATATTCCTGCTTCTTGCTGAAGATTATTTTTAGTATTTTACAGTAAATATTTGGACTCATTTTGAAGGGAAATTAGAGAGAAAATCTTTTTTCTAACAGAACTTGATTTAATCAGATATAAACAATATTGAGTGTTGGTGCAGAATAATAACAACAATAATAATAATAAAATAATATTCCTATTTCCCAGAGAAGCTGGAAGCAGAGTTCCCTCAGAGTCCCATTCTGTGGCATGATTACAGAGTTTAACATGAAGCTTGATTGGAGACAGGGTCAGAGGTCACCAGAGGTCACCAGGGTGCAGACAAGTGTTTCAGAGCCTCAGGAATGTGAGCAGAGATAAATGAGGCGAGCGTGGCGGTCAGAGCGTGGCGGTCAGAGCGCAGCGTGGCGGTCAGAGCGCAGCGTGGCGGTCAGAGCGCAGCGTGGCGGTCAGAGCGCAGCGTGGCGGTCAGAGCGCAGCGTGGTGGTCAGAGCGCAGCGTGGCGGTCAGAGTGTGGCGGTCAGAGTGTGGCGGTCTGAGCGCGCTCAGTTCCACCTAGAGCACACAGCAGCGCCTCTTCTTCCTGCCGCCGCTCGGCCCGTTCTCTTTGCTCTCCGCCATTTTCTTCTTACGGACTTCCCTCATGAGGTCGAAGAACACCTGCAAGGGGAGGGCAAAGGTCAGGCGGCTGCAGCGGCAGAGGGCAGAGGCGGTCCCCCACCACAGCGCTCACCTTGTCCACGTTGGCTCTGGTCTTGGCCGACGTCTCGACGTACGGGACGCCCCAGCCGGACGCCTTGGCCGTGCCGTCGTCCACGCTCACCTGGCGCCGGTCCTCCAGGTCCGACTTGTTCCCGACCACCAGCAGCGGGATCGCTTCCTCCTCCTTCACCCGGACGATCTGCTCCCTGCAACCAGCAGGCACACGGCCTAGTTAAAGCCCGCAGACAGGGTGAGCCACCCGGTGTCTATCACAGCACAGCGCTGCTTCTGATTGGCTCCTCCCCAAAACATCACCGCCTCCGTTTTCACGGCAGATTAGTTGAAGATTAGAGAAAAAATGATTTCTGTTTTTAACTAAGAGATTTAATTTGGTTTTTTAAATGTAATCGATTTTTTACAGGAGCAGTCTAGAGAGAAAAAATTACATTTATGATTCAAAAGTCAGAAATTCATAGAAAAAAAATGGTTTTGAAATTCTACAATGTCTGAGATTAATGATGATGATGATGCGTAACAACGAGGACGTTCTGAACCTAACAGGTTGGAACAGCAAGTCGATTAAATCATTAAAAGAAAGCAGCTGGAGAATGTGGGCAGGATGGGAGTTCCGTAGAACCAGAGGAGGGATGACAGACATGGCAACATGTCAGGCGGCTCCTTGCTGGATGACAGACATGGCAACATGTCAGGCGGCTCCTTGCGGATGACAGACATGGCAACATGTCGGGCGGCTCCTTGCTGGATAACAGACATGGCAACATGTCAGGCTCCTTGCTGGATGACAGACATGGCAACATGTCGGGCGGCTCCTTGCTGGATGACAGACATGGCAACTTGTCGGGCGGCTCCTTGCTGATGACAGACATGGCAACATGTCAGGCGGCTCCTTGCTGGATAACAGACATGGCAACATGTCAGGCGGCTCCTTGCTGATGACAGACATGGCAACATGTCGGGCGGCTCCTTGCTGGATGACAGACATGGCAACTTGTCGGGCGGCTCCTTGCTGATGACAGACATGGCAACATGTCAGGCGGCTCCTTGCTGATGACAGACATGGCAACATGTCAGGCGCTTCTTGCTGGATGACAGACATGGCAACATGTCGGCGGCTCCTTGCTGGATAACAGACATGGCAACATGTCAGGCGGCTCCTTGCTGATGACAGACATGGCAACATGTCGGGCGGCTCCTTGCTGATGACAGGACTGGACTTTCTGCTTCGTGTTCAGTTTACGGTTGAAGTTATTAAAACGTCTCTTCACAGTGAATTTGACATAAATTCCTTCATTTGGCCAGAAACCTTGAGACAAACGATTGAATCGATTCGTGAAACGGAGTGGAGTCAGACGCTCTGCTCTGGTTCTGGTACCGGACCCAGACCCCTGTGTTACCCCGGTGACGGGTCAGACCTGAACTCGGTTATGGCGGTGAAGGACTCGTGCTCGGTGATGGAGAAGACGAGCAGGAAGCCCTCGCCGCAGCGGAAGTAGTTGTCCCTGATGGCGGCGTAGTCCTCCTGCCCGCCGTGTCCAGGATGTCGATCTGGACCTCCTCCCCGTCCAGAACCACCTTCTTCCTGTAGCTGTCTGCCTTGGTGGGCTCGTAGTCCTCCACGAACTGCGACAGAGCGGACAGACAGCTCACAGAAGCCAGGGGCATTATGGGAAACGTAGTGAGAGGCTCACCTCGTCGTACATGAACTGCAGCGTCAGCGCCGACTTGCCCACGCCGCCGCTGCCCACCATGATGACCTTGTGGAGGGTCAGCGAGTTCTGGCCCTTATTCTTACCGGAGGACATGGTTCCAGTCCGGTCGGTCCAGCTGGGACAGAATCAGAACCGGTCCTGACACCAAACCAGGACTCGGCTCCTCTGGAAGCTGATGGACTCAAACCAAACGAAACTTCCTGCACAGAAACACAAGCAGTCAGACATCAACAGCACCGGACCGGGTCGAAGAGGTTCTACTGGACCCTGGAACAGTTACAGGTCTGGAAGAACGTCCCAGGTCAAAGTTCACGGGGGACTGGCTCCAGTCAGAGCGCAACGTTTCTGTTCTAGAGTCATCAGAACACGTCCCACTAGTTCTGGAGCCGTGGTACTGATCCAGTGTCAGTCTGGGCCTGGAGCTGCTGTGGAATGACCCACTTGACCTTATCAGTGGGGCCAGTGGGGGGCGACCCAACCAGCGTGAGCAGCCAGGCCAGAACCAGTACCGGCTCAGCTGTGACCCGGAACGGTCCAGTGATCAGAATCAGGAACTGTGGCGTCACTCAGTTTCCTCTGAACCAGCAGCTGGAAACCAGTTTCTAAACACTCTGCTGCACATTCCCGCCTTCAGCGGCAGCGGCGCCTCTGATTGGCTCAGACTGGCAGCAGAACTCCCCTCCGAAGGCTCCTATTGGCTGCTCACCCAGTCACTCTGAGCCCTGCGTTTGCTAGCCAGTTCGGCAGCAACAGATAACGCTTCTCTACTCGGGATACTCGAGTTAAAATAGACCGGTAAACGCTCCTTTCTGCGGCATGGAGAGCCCGACAGTGACCGAAACAACCTTGAGGAACTCCGGTGACTCACCCGCTGCCGTGTTTCCCCTCCGTCCTCCAGAAACCCGTCTGAGAAAACTTTTACAAGTTGATCATCAGACTGAGCGCCCCACCTTTACCCGGACCTACACTGATCGTCTATATCCGCGAAGATGAGTCCTCTGAGCAAGAACCTGTCTGAGACGGGAATTCTGACCGCCTCTGGTTACTATAGGACCAAACAAGAAGTCTAATAAGCCGCAGTTAAAACAAATATTGTTCTTATTGTTGATTAAACCACAGAGACACGAAATAACTCTGGGGCAGCTTAGTGAAATGACTTCCAACAGAATTAAAAGTGTAGTGATACATCTTTCCGTTCATTCTCGGATAGGCACAGATATCATTAACAGGAAGTGATGTCACGGAGTTCCCTTTTCTTAAAAAGTTAGTTAAACCACGAAAAAATTACAATAAATCTACGAAAAGTAAAGTTACTGTCAGGCAAAAACATATTTAATAAAAACCGCATACATTTAGATTAATTAAATATGAACTTTAAATTGTATTCTGTTCCTATTTTAAAAAGAATTAATGAATTTTCAAAGAAAAAAAAAAAACAAAACGTAAATGTGAAGTAAAATAGATTTGAATGAAAAATTTACTTACATTAACATGACTGTGTTCAATAAAAAGAAAAAAACTCCCCAAAACAACAACAATAACAATGAAAAGAATGCAATACAAAAATTAGAGGAAAATTACAAATTTTACAGAAAAACCTAAATTATATTACTAGGTAAAATTAAATGAAATGAGATATATTAAGATACTTGCATTCCTAAACATTGTCGTTTTATTTTCTCAATTTTAATGTGAAGATAAACTGCAAAATCCCTCGTGGGTTCCTGATTATTGCAGAAATAATATTTGTAGCAATATAAAATGCAAATGCTTAGATTTTAGTAAGCACAATTAAAACTAGGAATCTCTAATAAAATACATTCAGATGTTAAAAGGTTTTAATTATTGGACTAAAACTTAGAAATGGATGAAGCTGATATTGCCAGCTTCCGGTCTGCAGTTCCGAGTGACGGACCGAAGATGGCGCCATTTCCTTCCTTGTGGATTCTGAGCGCAGCTTCAATCAACTCAAGTTCCTCCGCTGCTGCGCATGCCCAGTGGCTTCCACAACCCAGAGGCGTTTGCATGCGGCTCTGGGTTGTGACAGCAGCATGTGGGAGGTCAGAGGTCAACGCGGCTTCATTTGGTTGACAGGTTTTACTACCAAATATCGGGCTGAGTCCTGCGCTGCCATTGGCTGAAGCTACTGGCTCGTTTGGATATTTGGGCCCAGCAGAACCAGGCTGGGTTTCTTTCTACTGCAGAACCAGCAATAGAACCGGGCTTGGACTGGTTCTGCTGGTCAGCAGCCAATCAGAGAAGATGAAAGAATTAAAAAAACCATTTAATGATTTTAGTCTGAAGCTGAACGACCATGAGACATGGTGGTGGCAGCATCATGCAGTGGATGGTTCAGACTAACCATCTGGACTGTATTGTAGAGGGGCCTAGTCAAAGTCAAGGGGGTGTAGAAAAAATGTACTCTGCACTTTCAACTGTATTTCTGTCACTGATGTTGTGAAACCAGGTGGTTTCTGGCTGTAACCCCCAGCATGATGCTGCCACCACCAACATCCGGGAACTTTGGGACTCAAACCTGAAAACTGCACCG